GAATGTGAGAAGGTTTTTTGCGCCAGTCATGTCGAGGAACCGTGGAACAACCTTCCAGAAGCGATTTAATGTCGTAGTCTGTATAGACATTCAAATAACCGATTGGCATACAAATGCTGCGGCAACAATAGGACTATTTGACTACGTAAGCATATGGACCCGGGAACTATATCAAATGAAGCCTAAATTTGCCTGGCGCTGTAATTCCTTTGCATTGATGTTACTTCTTCTGATATTTAGGGGACAAATAAAGAGTCCAAAGACGTAAGTCTTCTTCCCTTCAAATGCACTGAACTGACTGTTTCAAGATTCTTCAGCAGAAACTAAATTGTAGGTTTCCTTTGAAAATATCCTTCTAATCAACAACGTTTCCGGTGTATTAGCGATATAAATAACACCAAAGGACAACGGGATGTGCACGTTCCTTAGTATATATTTAGGAGGCAGATATCCCCAGAAAAACAATTGGAATAATACGTCCTTTTGATTAACGCTTACTGGCATTCAGCCGGCGGCCGCTTTTTGGCGCGAATTCCCATTAAGTATCGGTTAACCGATTTTTGAAAATTTACCTAAGCCGGACTACGAACTGAAGAGCCAGCGTCAAAAATCGACCTTAAAAACTTTTCTACCTTTCTCGAAACCCGTATTTACCTTTAAATATGTACACATATACAAATTGCTTTTCTCTATGTACTGAGAAAGGTATTTTTTCAGATTATCGCTGCTAGAAGAACTGGTTGGTTTTACAGAATCCTCTGACGAGTTGACGAGCGCCAAAAAGTGTAGAAAGTGACTAATTACATGCGCCCAGTATCTGGAAAATGCATAGAGCGCGCGTTTAGAACTTAGTATCCATTCTTCAACCTCACACAACCCTTGTTTATGTTGACACTGTGATATTATAAACCCCTTCGCCTTTTCGAAGAAGCGGTGCTTTCATCTCCGGCAAGTTGCATAGATACTGTCTCAACAATACATAAACACCCACTCACCATCCCTGCTCGTCTACTTTGCGAGCCTATAAAATCCATAAACGTTGGAGGTGTCCTGGCATTTTATATGTGGTTTTGACTAGCTTAAACTTGTCGTTCTATTTATTGTAGAATATTTCACAGAATCGCAATTATTCGTGCGCATCTTTACACTCTAGAAAAAAAATCAAAGGTAACATGCTGCACCTGAGCGCATACACCCAGACAGATGGTTAGATAACTAAACTGTGACTTGTTTATACCCAATTGCGCTGGTACGTGCATCTTCACCAGGTCACCTCACGAGGATAACGCAAATAGGAGAGACGTTTAATTTTGGAATACTTCAAACGGCTGGCATGGAAGCTTGGACGTCCCTTAAAGTCAGTCGGCAAAATGGTACTCACTACAACCTTCTATTAGAAAAAAGAATGACTTTACGGAGTTCATTTTCAGTCGGACTTGGAACAGAGAAAAATGGTAGGTATAGGCAGCTGAAGTTGGCGGTGAGCGAAAGGACAGATGTTCAGGTAATTACCGCCAAGACGTATTTCCTGTAGGCAAATTACGTCAGAATACAATGTGGACCTCTTCGACCAGACGATAATCGAAGGTAATTCCAGCAAGTGTGCAAAGCCTGTTTGGGGAACTGGACGAACTCAGGGTTTTGCCCAACGGTGCTGCGCATGACGCTTCTTTCTTTCTTGGCACAAACACTCAGTCATAGTGGTTGACGGCGACCATTAGCCCCACACAAGTATGGACGGTTACGACATAAATTTGTCTGAGGCAATTAAAAATCTGGGCGTATCATAATCGAAGAATCCAAATTTTTCTGATCACTGCACCCCGATAGCCGTCAAACCATACAGAACAACCAGGTCTATCCCCGTAATTTTAAAACTGGAGATATTAGAAAACGCCGCTACAAAATGTATGTCACCCCTGGCCTGAAATACGGTTTGCTTTTATTTACCCTCCTGTGTACTGTTGAGTGAGACACAATAGAAGCCACTCATCATTTTCCTCTGCCGAATGAATTGTAACTTCGAAGCACCAAAATGTGGCATACAAAGAACGTTGCGGATTTATAAGCCTTGATTTCTTGCCGTTTCGCCGACTACAAAAGGGACTATTTTAACTGCTTCACTTTTTCAACAGTCGCACATTTAATCCGTTTACAGTTTTAAAGAATTTTGACCAACGCCGGCGCAACAGTCACTGCGAGGTCCACTTGTTTCGTCCGCTGGCACATGCCATTAAAGATCGTCAGTTCTCTTATGTGGACACAGTTTCAGGCTGCAATAAGTTACATTGGAATGTGGAAATTCGCAAGATTAATTTTGCTTACGAGAACAGTCGCTTGTTTTCTGCATTTAGAAAATCCCCACAGGTGTTGGGTGTCAAAACCAGAGAATCAAGCTTCTGTAGTAATGGAATTCACGGTCTCTCATGCTTCCGTCCGGTCACGCTTTTTGTGGAATCGGGATGACCCTGCATCTCACAACACCACAGAGAACTTTTTCACCGACAGCGATCAAATAATCATGCATGTACCCTCCTTGGCGCACGGATACCAATTCCATGAAAAGGGATAGACTGATAACATCTGATGCAAGGTTGACCTTCCCTTTTTGGACTGACGTCATCTAACGTGCTACAGTAGTTTTCTCTCCTTAGCCATCTAGACTGTTCAAAAACACCGCCGCTTATATTTACATCCCCAGTAGTCTTCTCCAACTGCTAGCCTAATTCGTGCTTTACCTTTCTTTAACAACGCCTGCAAACTGACATTATCGTTTTAAGTCTATGTAAGACTATTTAAGCTAGTGCAAAACAGCTGACCAAACCCACCCTAAATATCAAATTTTAAGGGGCAATATGATACTTGACGTAGTACTATTTTGACACTTTGGTTGATGCTAACCACTAAACGTTTCGTGCTGTTGAGTCATATCTATCCATCCAGGTTACACAGATGAAGGGTGCGATCAGACCTCCAAAGACACAAACGCACACACACACACACACGACAGTTCGACCGTCGCGTCCGAGAATGTCCACCGTATGCCCCAGGACAGGATGGGAACAGGAACGGTGACTTGTGCGAAAATTTAGTTTATAGTGATAGTAGACTTGCACAGCATCTACCGCACTCTCGCTTCCTCCGTCTGGACCCCGAGTCATTACAGAGCCCAGGCGACAGGATGTGGGGGAGGGCGCAGGTGGATAGCACTGTCGAGCCCTCGCCTTGGCGTCCCACTCCACATCCCGTGGTCCAAACAGCAAATAACCAGGTTTGTGATTAACCACAACAATGGGGGTGGCGGAGTCCCAGTGTGCTCGACGTACGCCGGCAACCGGCTCCGCCACCGCACCCCGAAAATTTAGGCATTTTTTACGGAGCGCAAAGCCGATAATGCATGCCAAAGTCCAATATGGCCCTCGTGTTGGTCCAGTGCATCAACCACGTGACCCGTTTGGGGTGCACACATACACACCAATCAAGTGAAGCCCTGGGCATAAACCATAGTTAAGATCGAGCTAAAGTGTGTTGTTAAACGGGTCGCTACACTCCTCCATGTAAAAGGGTTGAATAAGAATTCGACGTCCATAAGTGCATAATCGAGACAAAAGAAACCTGAGCACATATGGTAACAGTTAAATGTACAAAGTGGGTGACTTACAACGCAGGGATCACCTATCTGTATGGAGATTTGTCGTTGAAATGTCTGCTTAACAACCGATAGGGGCCGCAATGCTCTAGGTTAATTTAGGGCAATGTCATGAAATGTGCCGACCTAGAGTGAGAGATGAGAATTGAGGCGAGTTGCGAGATGGGAGTCGGCAGTAGAAAGAAAATAGCACCGGATATTTTAACCAACACAGTTAAATCATCCCCGCAGCGTATCCGGCTCGGGCCGTCAGGACATCATGCCACAAACGCGTGACAAGCGAACGATCAAGGTCATGACCCCCTGTTCACACCTTCTTTGTGCTGATTGGCCACCCATTAGCCTATGACAGTCCCCCTTGCCATATACCTGGCCGTTCTCGCAAGCCTCCTCACTTGTGCTGTCTATCGTACTCAGTACACGTCCTATTTCCAATTACCCTTCTGTTTTGCATACATTACATTGGCGACGCAGCCTTACGAACATGTCTTCATTGCTGCCTACACCGTTATCTTTCTGGCCAAAGAACACCCAGAAGCCCTCAAATGACTCGTGGTTGCAATGGAGGAAGACATTTGAGGATTATATTGAACTGCTCCCGATTTTATCACCCACGATTGTACTAGACGTCCCATCTAAGTTGAAACTCCTCCGAACGAATCTCGGAAAATTGGGACAACGATATTTCGATGCCCTCAATCTACAACAGGCTGTAGATCTGCTAACAGCCTTCTCAAATCTCGAGTCAACGTGGGGAGGAAAAGACAACGTTTTTCTCAATCGCCATCGGTTTTGTCAAATGCGTCAATAATCCAATCAATCTGTCAGTGATTTTATTACTAATCTGACTCTGGCCATCCAGGACTGTGGGTATAAAGAGATCAAATCAGACAACTTCGAGCACGCAATGCTCGTTCAGCAGTTGATCGTCGGTCTGCGCGATGAAAAAGCTCGGGAAAATCTTTTATCAGAGAAGAAGGATTTGTCATGGGAGAAAGTCTGTGATATCGCCAGTCATCAGTAGCGCGTGCGACAAAACCTTCAGCAGCTGAATGAGTCAAACGATGGAGTGATAGCATCCTTGGAATCGGAAATGGCTGTCTCCCTAGTCAACACTGCTGTGTCTTCACCTAGGCAGCGACCCTCAGCTCCCTTAAATCAACTGCCATCCTGCTACCGTTGTGGTCAGCATCATATCCGGTGGTCAGACTGTAAAAACCAGAAGACGGCATGCTAGTTTTGTAAGAAAGTCGGCCACATCGAACGAGTGTGTTTCTCCAAAAGACGAGCAAATACTAACACGCATGCAACCTACCCTAATCCAGCTGGGGATGGCGAGGCGATACTCCGAATGTTTTCGGCCAACGCGCTACTCCAATCGCCCTACACCATCACGATTCCGGTTGATCACCATCCCGTGAAGTTTGGAATCGACACTGGCTCAGCTGTTACTCTCATCAATGAGGCCTCCCTTCGGAAATTACTCTCCCTCCTTCCGGCCAGCTCAATATTCCGCAGTTACACCGGACAGAATATAGAGGTTCGAGGGGTCTTTACAGTTGAAGTCAAACATGATGGAGAACTTCATTACTTGCCGGTTCATGTGGTGAGAGGAAGCCAGTAACCAAATCTCCTTGGACGGAATTGGATTAACTGCGTGCCTTCTGTGCTATCCTATGTACATCGGATTGGTGTAAATCCGGCTTTAGATTCAATTTTGGTAAATCATAAGGATCTACTTCGTGACGATTCTGCTACCCACTACCGCGGTCCACCTGGTAAGTTCCAGTTTCAGTCAGATTTCCGGCCCCGGTTCTTCAAAGCTCTTACAGTCCCCTATGCAGTCGCACCGAAGGTCGAAGAAGAGCTGGATCGCCTACAGAATGCGGATATTATTGAGCCCGTGCAATACTCGGAATGGGCAGCCCCAATAGTTCCTGTTCTTAAATCCGATGGTTCTGTGCTTATCAGTGGTGACTACAAGCTGACAATCAACTCAGCAACTAAACTGAACCCTTATCCTCTCCCGCGCATCGAGGATCTGTACGCATCTCTCTCGGGTGGTCATCAGTTTTCAACTTTGGACCTTAAGCATGCCTACAACCAAGTCGTCCTAGATACTGAATCCCGAGACGCCACCACCATCAATGCGCATCGAGGTTTATTTCGATATAAAAGACTTCCACCACAAGGCCGACAGGCCATCCTCAGAGACCTGCATAATGCTCATACTGGTACAGTGAGAATGAAAGCTCTCGCCCGCAGCTATGTTTGGTGGCCCAAAATTGACGCAGATATAGAAAACGTGGTGAAAGCATGTCACGTGTGCCAAATAACACAGAAGACCTAACCGAAGGTTCCTCTGAAGCCTTGGGCCTGGCCCGACTCGCCGTGGAAGAGGGTACACGTCGATTATTTTGGGCCATTCCAAGGCCATATGGTTTTGGTGGTAGTTGACGCCCACACGACATGGATAGATGCGATTCCGACAGGAAATTCTTCTTCTTCACCGACTACAAGCAACAAGTTGCGAACCATTTTTTCTACTTTTGGGAAACCTGAAATGGTCGTTTCAGACAACGGTCCGGCCTTTACTTGTGCAGAATTCAAAGATTTCATGGAGAAAAATGGAATAGGACATTTAACTACTGCCCCGTACCACGCTGCTTCGTATGGCCTCGCAGAGCGTGCAGTTCAGACAATAAAGCACGGACTAGCCAGACAGACAGAAGCGGACTTGGCCACCAAGTTGTCACGCTTTCTATTCAGCTATCGCATAACATCGAACAACTCAACCGGTGCTTCGCCTGCAGAATTAATGTTCGAGCGGCAGTTGCGCACACGACTCGACCTGCTTAATCCATCAACGCATGATAGAGTCATTGCAAAACAGACGAAGATGAAAGCACGATATGATGTGAACACCCGATCACGAGTCGTCGCACCTAACGAAAGTGTCTACACGCAACTGGAACACGAAAGGAACTGGTGTCCAGCGGTAGTTCAAACAAGCGAGGGGCAAATAGTGGAATTAGAGTTAGAAGATGGGAGAATTGTGCGTCAACATCTGGACCAAGTTCGAAGCCGAACGGACACAGTAAGTAGAGAATTCGGAATGTTCCAACTGCCAGCAACCCTTGATAGGGATCCTGACATCCCGAGGACTGAACGCCTACTGCCTGCACAGAGCACTACGCCACCGACCAAAGCGTATGTTCCACTTCCTTCTACCTCGGCCGGCACTAGCTTAGGGGCAGAGGAGCCAGTGACTGCACAAAGCGGCGCAGAAGTAGAAAATACCGCCCTGAGAAGGTCGACCCGAATACGCAAACCTGTCCAACGATTTCAGAACGAATCTTATTAGAACATTGTCTGACTATCCACTATTACCTTTACTGTTTCCCCCCTCCCCCTATGCTCTCCACTTTAGGGTGGAGGGATGCAGCGTATCCGGCTCGGGCCGTCAGGACATCATGCCACAAACGCGTGACAAGCGAACGATCAAGGTCATGGCCCCCTGTTCACACCTTCTTTGAGCTGATTGGCCACCCATTGGCCTATGACAGTCCCCCTTGCCATATACCCGGCTGTTCTCGCAAGCCTCCTCACTTGTGCTGTCTATCGTACTCAGTACACGTCCTATTTCCAATTACCCTTCTGTTTTGCATACCTAACAATCCCCATCTCAGATCCATGCAGAAAGTGTTCATTTCACTCAAGCTGCATCCCGTACTAAGAAGCGGTAGCTGGCAAACATTGAGTTTTTATGGATAATAAAACTCGCAGATGGTCTTCGCTTCCCGTTTCACAATACTAATAATAATATTAATTGTTCTTGAAGACCCGTCGAGGTTCCATCTAAGCAAGTAAAAATAGATTTACATATGCATTTTAGACGAGGCAGGCAAAATCTGTACGAAATGCAATTCATATTATCGAAAATTTTAGTCCCTTAAGAAAAATGATGGGCGAGCCGCGAAAGCATAACTCAACTTAGAAATTTCAAAATGATTGGATTTATATCGAAGGCGAAAAAATCCTGGCTAATAATAACATAAAAATGCGGGCAGAACTGGCCTGCATGTGGCTCTATATAACGGATTATAATCGGACATCGTCAGGGCAGAAATAAATGTCAGCCTTGAGGGAGATGTATGCGGGTGGGAAAGGACTGGTCAGCATGTGGTATTGTATGCGGGATTCAGAACTGACATCGTCGTCTGTGTGGAACACCGTCAAAAGCCTTTCGGAACACAATGTACACCGCGTCAACTGAAAAGCCTATGTCGATCGATTTCATCCAGCTCTCCGTGCATACCAGCAGGTTAATGCGACAGGATCGACCTCTTCGAATTCCATGCTGATGCACACTGAGCAAGTGGTTTTCTTCAAGATGCCGCATTAGCTCCGTTTTTATGTCCTTGTAACAGATGCTTGTGAGACTCACTGGTCTGAAAATATTTGGGGCTGTTCTCTCGCCACCTTTATATATGGGGCTTATATTTGATTTCTTTCAGTCGGTAGGCAGAGCCCCCGTCTACATCGAAGTTCTGAAGATCTTGGATAACGGAGAGGCCAGTTTGTCTGAGAGTTCATTCAGGACTTTTGCGAGCACGCCGTTCGGAGCAGGGGATTTAGTGGGCTCTAGTTGACTCGAAGTTTTCCTTGTCGTGTCTGTTGTGAAGTCGTCCGTGCAAATTGTATTTCTTGATTTGACTATTGGGAAGTAAACTTTTTCATCAAAAGCCGACTCTTCCCTTTTTACATAATTTAAGAAAACACTACGAACATGTGCGCTGCTGCCTCCACTGGAAGAATAGCAAGAAGTGAAGCAAAAGTACCTCCCTTGAAAGGCTCATCAGAAATGCCTTCTGTAACAGATACGGCTGTACCGGATCGAATAGCAAAAAATAAAATTGACAGCAGTCAACGAGGAAACCGGAAAAACAAGAAGAAATCCGGCTGTAAAAAAGCCAAAGAAACTGAACAGCCGCTTCTAAGTGATATTCCCACAGCACCCGAGCCAGAAACCACGACAACTGCCCCGTCCACAACGGTTAATGCCGAAAGTCCAAAAACAGTTCGTAACGCCCAGAAAACTCTTCGATCGGATGGGCCCAGCACAAGTAGTGGTATTGAGGCAATTACCGAACCTGCAGACCATCATTTGCTACCGTCCATATCAGCGGTCTCCTGCAAGTCAGTTAAAACTGGCGTCCGTCATCGAAACCGCGATATAGAATGTGCTCCACCACCGCCATCTAATACCCTTAAAGTACCACATCCACTAGAGGGAAATACGTCAACAAAATATACGAACGATATCGCCAGAGACCAATGTCTCGTTATTCAGGGGCTCCCTGAATCTAATGCCAACACTCCTAAAGAGCGGGTTTCGGAAGATCTAAGGCTTCTCCAGAGCTTGCTCAACAATATCCTGGAACCTACTGAGGTAATTGAAGTACTCAAAGCCTTTCGTCTTGGAAAACGGACAAAAACTCTGCCCACACCAACACGGCCCCGACCTCTCAAAGTTGTGCTGGCTTGCAAGGAGCAAGCTGGGTTGATTCTATCTCGGCGCTTTAAAATAAAAGGCACCAGCCCCGGCGTTTTTTTTCAACCGGATTACTCGCCAGCAGAGAGGCTGAAACGTCGTCTTTTAGTTCTAGAGCTGAGGAAAAGACTCAGCGAAGGAAACCTGAATTTGGTTATCTACAACAACCAAATCAGACAGCGCCCATCATCCTTTCTTTGGACGAGCCCGATCCGGATGACCGCGCAACTAGAATAGTAGGCGAAAGTCCTAGACGCATCGAAATTACTTCTCTGCCAGCCATAAATCGTAAACTGAACTGCTTATATACAAATGTGCAGAGCATGTTATCGAAAGTTGACGAGCTAAAGGTCCATCTATCTGATCTATCCCCGGATATAATCTCACTTACAGAAACTTGCCTGAATCAGCAGGTGGACAACCGTGAGTTAACTATACCAGGATACCAGCTGTTTAGAAGAGACAGATCAGGACGCCAGGACGGAGGTGTACTCACGTATGTAAAACACGGGCTTATAGTCTCAGACAAAACAGATAAACTTTCGTGTACTTCTGAGGCAATTTGGCTAACTATAAAAACCCCGGGTTCACCGAGCCTTGACGTCCTGACGGTCTACAGACCGCCGAGAAATGATCCCACGGCGGACGCCCGTTTGATCGAGGACCTGGAAGGATTCTCTATCCGGTCTGACGTCTTAATTATGGGGGACTTCAACGCACCTCTTATCGACTGGAGTTCAGCTTATGCGTCTGGTCCAGACCATGCTTTCGACCGACGTTTGGTGGACATGACCTTCAAGGTATTTCTCATTTAGCACGTCTCTTTTTCGACGAGGGTGCGCGAAGGGCAACAGTCAAACTGTCTGGATCTACTCCCTACGAAGTCACTGGACAGCATTGATGAGGTGCAATGTCTACTCCCTCCCCCCCCCTAGGTCGAAGCGACCGCATCGTACTGTTGTCGGAGTACTCCATTTTTTCTCTGCCCGAACAGGCCACCAGGTTTGGAAGGAACATTTGGCGCGGTGACTTTGCCCGAATGAAATCTGAGCTAAATACCATAAACTGGGAATCAACTTTTTTCAGTGATATAATAGAGGATTGGGACTGGTTTTGCGGGTAACCGCACGCACTTCTCAAAGCCCACTGTCCTATTGCACGGAGAAACTGAACAGCAGACCCCCGTGGCTAATACAAGCAGTAAAAAAAGAAGAGAATAAAAAGCGGAGGTTATGGAGAAAATCCCTCTCGGATAGGAGCTCTGTGTCGATAAATACATACAAAGCACAGAGGAACCTAGTTAGGAGGTTACTCCTCGGGACGCAGCGTACTTTCGAGAAAGCCCTACTGAATCGAGCCGCAGAAAATCCGAAGTTATTCTATGGTTACATAAGAAGAAGCCCACGAAACAGAGATCCAATCCCCTTACTGAAAACTAGTGACGACCAAGAACTCAGTGAAGCCGGAGAAAAGGCAGAGGAACTTTCACAATTTTTTTAAGCCCATCTTTACGAAGGAGAGCACATTTCTCCCTCCCGCTGCGACATGGTGGACGGGCCAACGATTGAGCACGCCTCTTTCGCCGAAGCTGTTGTTCGCAAAGTACTGTTGACGCTGAATGAGTCCAAATTACCTGGGCCGGATGACATACAGCCGAAATTGTTGAAGGAGCTTGCTGGAGAACTATCTAAACCGCTGTCCATGCTCTTCCAAGCGTCGTTCGAAACAGGCTTCTAGCCCGCCGATTGGAAATCCGCGCGGATCACGCCAGTTTATAAAGGCGGCAGCAAGGTCTTAACAAACAACTACAGACCAATCAGCCTTACCTCAATTCGCTGCAAAATTATGGAAAAAATAATTAAGCGACAAATTATGCACTTCCTAGAAGAGCATAATCTGCTATGTGACACCCAGCACGGATTTCGTAGAGGCAGATCATGCGTGACAAACCCACTTTATTGTTTAGATCGTTAGAACCGGGCATTCGATGGCGGCAATGCAGTGCACGCAGTCTACGTCGACTTTAAGAAGGCATTCGACGGTGTACCACATCAGCGTCTCCCGTACAAATTAAGCCGGACAGGCATAAGGGGTAATCTCCTGAGGTGAATACAAAGTTTCTTGATCGGTCGCTCTCAAATCGTCCACGTCGGTGACAGGCAGTCGGCGGAGGTAGCGGTTGAAAGCGGGGTTCCGCAAGGCTCCGTTCTTGGCCCAACCTTATTCAATGACTGCATCAGTGAACTGAATTGTGATGTCGCCCTGTTCTCTGATGATGTTAAGCTTTGAAGCGTCATTTGAACTGAATTGGATGAAAAGCGCTTGCAGGCAGACCTGACTCGACTGGAAAAATGGTCACAAGACTGGCTTTTGCCGTTTAATGTGACTAAGTGCAATGTTTTGCGAGTCGGCAGGACCCGAACTCTAAGCCGGAGGGTTAACTACCTAAATGGCGTACCACTGCAGGAGGTAGACGCCCAGAAAGACTTGGGTGTGTAGGTAACAGCTTCTCTAAAACCGTCGCTCCACTACTCCAAGGTACCCAAGTCTGCGATGTCAGTCCTTTATCTTGTCAAGAGAGCTTTCTCTACCTTCCATGAGAACTGCTTCGTTAAAGTCTTTCGGACTTTCGTACGGCCACAGTTAGAGTTTGCTATTCAAGCGTGGAAACCTTGGACCTCTAAAGATCTCAGCATTCTTGAGAAAGTCCAAAGGCGGGCGACCAAACTCGTAAGTGGACAGGGTTCACTACCCTATGCAACACGATTGTCCAATCTCGGACTTTTTCCACTGAGTTACGGACAGCGAAGAGGCGACCTTATACAAACATTCCGTTTACTGCGCAGCCACGACTGCTGTCTCGTACCTGCTGATTTCTTTGAGTTAGCGACCACAACGAACCTCCGAGGTCATCCACTTAAGCTACGCGTAACTGGCGCCAAGCTGGTTATTCGGAAGTTCTTCTTTTCAAACAGAGTGATCGAGGCCTGGAATGCTCTGCCTACAGATGTCGTCATGTCCACCTCCGTCGAGGCTTTTAAGCGCAAGTTGGACCAATGTGCCACCAAACGTCATAATGCCACCTGACCGACGTCTAGCATTTCGTTCGAACAGTTTGTTAATGTTGTTATATTACTGCCTGTATTTCAGTAATGTTTGTTTTTTATTATTGTCCTATGTCTGTTGAATGTGTGTTGGCATCTGATTCGTCTCCCTCAGAAACTGAGATAGCACCAATTATCCATAGACAGACTACTGTACAGCACACTTAGTAACGTTAATGTTTTTAACTCTTGGAACAATTCGTTTATCTGTCTGGCTCGAAAACTTTGCCACTCTGAAGACACTCTGTAGCTGTTTGATGTTTCCATTTCAACTTTTTGATATAGTTCGCTTCCTTGTAACAAATAGGGAGTTCAAAGTTTCAACACCTATATTTCCCTCAAAAAACTGAAAAACTGAACTGAACTGAACACAAATGTGATGAAATCGGAAAACAGATTCGCTTTATCTAAGTTATCAGACAACGTATTGCCCCGGCGATCTTTTAGACAGGGAATGCAGTCACGATTGCGTTTTGCACTATTCACGTATCCAACGAATACTTTTTGGAATTTTGTGGAATATCTTTAGGAAGTTTTAACTCAAATACTGCTCGTTCCCTCCTTAGCAGATTCCAACATACATTCCTCTGTTTTTTGAAGTCAGCGAAATGCACTGGTGGCTGACTTCTGACGTGCTTTTTCCAAAGTCTCCTTTGCAATTTAAGGTTCTTATTTATTTCGGACGTCATCCCCTCTGGTCGGGAAGTGAGCGATTTTCTCTTCAGTGGGCAACAGCTCTCTACCAAGTGCTGCAATACGTCCTTGAAGAAGATCCTATCGCTTTCTGGGTCAGGTGCTTGTGCAGCATTCCAGTTCACATTCTGTTGTTGATTTTTCATTCGGGGATAAGCCTCCTTCCATACATTACTTTCCGCAGCATCTCAAATTTTGGGTGCGGAAAAAATGACTATGCTCCCAAACACGAACGCAGTGGTCACTTCGGCCAAGTGGCGTGTGCGATTTCAATCCGAGAATGCAACTAGCATCCCTAGTGATGATAAGGTCCAAACAACTGGACTGCTGTCTATCTTTTAATCGAGTGTCCACTTTAACATGTTGGGTAAGGAACTCATTTGCGATCATTTGAATAAATTTCTGTTCGAAGGAGTTTTCTGATCGCGTGCAACGCATCAAATCCCACTGGATGTCTGGACAGTTGAAATCACCAAGTAGCATTATGTGTTTGCTTTTACAAATTTCTTTTATCTCGATCCGCATCCGTCTGCTAGCCTGGAAGTCTGTAAACCAGGCTTTGATGGCTTGGCACTTTCAAGTAACAACTGAGTATTTCACAATCAATGTGCCGTAATGGGAAAGGCTCAACCCTGACGTAGTCGATACCACCTCGTATAAATGTCGCAGTCCTCCGGCCCCTTCGTTCGTTTCGATCCATTCGGAGAACCTGGAAACCATCTAGCCTAACTTCCGCGTCTTTTATCTGCGCATTTATCCATGTTTCTGTTAAAGCTATCAAGTCGGGTTGGAAATGGGCCACGGTGAGTTTCATTTTGTTCAATGTGTTGAATAAACTCTGCACATTTTTGTGCATCATTTTTATATTATTCGGTTGCTTAGGTCTCTGGAAATTGTATGCTAGTTCTTTTGACTGATAGTTACTACTGCCTATTTCACATGACGTACCGAGTCCACTAGTCGATTTTGAATTTACTGAAGTTTGTCGGAACCGAGCTTTACTGTCAATGTCACGGGATGATTCCACAAGAAGGAAAAATCTATTTTTACAATTTGGTTGTTTGCTATTTTCATATTCACTTCGCCCTCGCCCTGACGTTTTCTCGGTTCCGCTACCAGCATCCTCATTTTATCCGTTCGATTAGGTGATTGTCCTGCTGAAAAAATACTCCACGATCGTAGTTTCGAGGCCTGGACTTTCGCGACAAGATGAGATCTGCTGCTGTTCGTTTCCCAATATGACTTTTTGTGGTCTCGGCCGCACTTCCTCTGCGTTGTTTCTAACTAAATGCCTCAAATGTAAGGTGCTTTGGATTTCGACTATCTCACCGGGTTCTTAGGTATTATTCAGTGGGTTTTTGAATGTCAGTAGATCGTGCTTCACCCTCTCGGGGTGTCACCATATGCGGGTAGTAATGGGGGTGTCTTATATCCGTGTCCACATGAGAGAATATCTAGCTATGTATTCAACGCGTGGTTGGTGGATTTAAAGAAAGGGTCGGAAGAGGGCATGATAACTGACGCACGCGGGTAACAAGTCAGGCTGCCCAACCAGTTTGTGGGGACGAAAGGTTGCATTGATAGCCGTGACTCGTTGCAGCTGAGCAACAGGCGCGTTAACTTAGGTCTGCAGAGTGACAGTGAGGTATCGATGTGTCTGTAGATTAGCGCGTTTGTCGCAGTCATCGGCAGCCAAAGAGATGCCGAAAATGGGGTCCGGCTACGCTTCCCATTTAAATGGCGACAGGCAAGGTATGGGGAAAATCGGTCGACACAAACTGCTATTCGGACCCATAAAAAATAAAGCCCTTTCCAGCGTCAGGCTGTTCCAGAGGAATGAACGCTTTGTGCGAAATTCTGAAAGTTGCGAGTTGATGTCGATCCACAGAGCTTGTTAATCGTGTAAATTCACGTCCGACGAAATACGATCTGGAAATACAAACTAATTGTCTGATTTGACTAAAATGGAATGCAGCGCATAACGTAATCAATGAGGTACCAGAGAGCTGCTAAGGAGGAACATGCACAGTGGCAAGTCAGTGTTTTTTCACATTTGAGTAAGAGCACGAAAAAGCCCATGCGTACAGGCAGATTCAGAGACGACAAATGGCAATTGTCCATAGATCTACAACCCCGTCTCACTCTGTGCCTTTTCCAGTAATAACAATACCTCTTATTTGCAGCATGCATTTGATCTGATTCGACGTTGCCAGAATGGGAAGTGCAATACTTGCATCTATACTAACGTTTACTGCATTCTTTAGATACAAATAAAACTATTTTACTCGCTGAGATCGGTGAGTTCTCCTAGTTTACATGCCCAATTCGTTTGCACGATCATTCATGCATAGACGGAAGCGAGCGAACGTCAATAGACACCGGAAAACATTTCACCAGAAAACGGTCAATCCAACCATAGGAGCTTCTAACAACCGAGACGATGGAGATGGACACCGGTTTCGATTTCAACGGAAAAGTTTATTGTGTAATTTTTGATAACAAATATTTTTTACAACGCCGTTACATACAGCCAGACTGCTAAAAAGCTTCGCAATCTACTTCCCTTACGCAGAAATTAGCAGTGAACTGCAACAGTCGTTCCTACTATGCTTTATTTTGCTGTAAATATATTCCTAATGTTCCGAATATTATACTAAATCTAAATACGTAGAATAACTGTTTATTGAAAAGCCCATCACTGGCTCTGCCTCTCAGCCTTAGAACGCGTGCATTCATGCCCACTTCGGACACTTTATGTCAAGGCCTTTTTGGTCTACTTAAGTTGGAAGGGTGTTCAGTGATGTAGCCCGGTATACGTAGAGATTAGCTGGTAGTGTCTAACGCACATAGACAAGCTGCATGTTTAAGTCAGTCAATCCGCCTTATTCCACAGGATTGGATCAAAACTGGTACATGGGAAAGTGAACACAGATTGAGATTGATGAGGGGATACACTCTCAGGACAAATTTGCACACTTCCAGTTACAAATCTGACGTGCTTGGATCAACAACGACGCGCCAAAATTCGTGGCTTAGAAGATTACCAAATGAGTGAAAGGTTTGCTCCTCTTTGCCAGTACTGTGTACACGTAGAGCGACTGACTGCATGACCGGTGTGATGAATCACTCTCAGTGTAAACTTTTTGACACTTTCAAGCACGCAAGATTATAACCGTCCACTGTGAAACCGAATGCAGTTTGTAGTGACCAGGCGGTATTTGGCATGCTTAGACGGGCTCTTAAGGCTTGTTAACCCCTATTCTCAGTCCTCTTAGGTAGCTTTGACACTATTCTGCCCCCGGAGCCCGGTACATGGGAGAAGAGAGAGAGGTGCGTATCTCAAAATTCCACCTCATTTTATGTTAATTCATGTACGGATAATTATTGCTGCGTCCACTCCGTGGACGCACGGTGGATGCTGTCACCGGGGACATCTGTACTGTCGAGTAAAGTAAGGCTAATTCAAGCAGGAACGTCGGCCTGCCTAAAATTTGGGTTCTGTGAAACGTGCCTCAAAAATGTTGTCACAGTTTAGAAATAAGCTCAATTGTCAATAAAATCCTCATCATCGATTCCTCACCACACGGCAACCAAATGCTTGCTCATTACACTATTACCGACGCAACTGAAAAATGCTATTGGTTTCTATGCGTCCCGTTTTGTCCTTGGCTTCCAATGGTTTTGACTCTGTAGTGCATACAATAAATGGAGCTACAAAGACGGAATAGATACATGAAAAACTTAATTTTACGTTAGGACCGTTGAGTTTTAAAACCAATCGTCATCGAAAAAGAGAGAAAGCAGCAGAGGTAAATATTTGTACATACTCATATAAAACAAGGCCATCTAAAATGTCTGTTGTTTCACAGTGGGCAACGCTCGGATTAAAGTTCAGAAAGTGCCAAGCTGAAGTCGGTTGGTGGAGTTTGTTTACCGGTTAAATTCTCGTCCGGCGAGATACGACTGCGTAATAATTATTTTTCGTTGCAATTTACTAAAAAGTATTAAGTCAAATGAGTGTAATCAATGAAGCAGCAGCAAGCAAAAACAAAGCTCACGTTCACGTAGGCGGGAAATAATCGTGTGTGGTTCAGCATATTCAAACAACAACACTGAAAATTTTAACTGTATAAGAAACTCCAGAAAGAACTACAACTGCCAACGCACGTTATGCTCGATCTCGCTTAGTTTCTGGAATTATTCTCGGAAATAGAGAAATTGGGCCTTTTCTAGGTACCAACTCCGGATTTTATTCCTTTTTCATGTCTATCTAAATCTTTCAGTAATTGCCCATGGAGATATGCGCGTTAGATTACATTTGTTGGGCTGTTACGTCCCATTACTCACTTATGACTACTTGACTGGTGTCCCAGAAGATTTGCGATAAGTCTTGCAAGCTTGCCACCTTTCTGTTGCTTTACTCATCAATAAACTTCTTTGCTAGTCACACTGCGGAATTTCAGTCGTCTGCATTTACGCGATGGCAGAAAATACTTTTACTTGGAGTACGACCCCGTCGCTTCACCGTGTGTGCAAATCCATGAAGAAGAAGTCGTCATGAAGAAGTCGTCAGCAAACAGTGTGCATAATTCGCAGTCAGAGGAAGGGGATATAGGCAGTGAGTGGGCAATAAGTCTTTTGAAATCGGACCGTAAATTAATGAAAATATGCCGTAGCATTTTACCAGACTGAAATTCCAGCGGCAATACCAAAATAGCTCGCCGACCGTTTAGCCAACTGGCGTTCTGAGGTAACTGAGGTTACACATGTACCGAATATGTGCGATAAATCTGCTTTTATACATTTGCTTGTATAGGCAAATAGAAAACTTTTGAAATTTACGTTTGCGAGGTGTAACATAGTGAATTGGTGCTATCTCGGATTAACCTGCTTAGCTATTGTTAAGATGCACCTCTTTGTGGAGACATTTCGCAAGACAGGGTATCACATCTTCCTGAGTCATGCTGGCGACCAGCAGATAATATTAAAATGCTATCGGTTTATGCCACTTTTGATCACGACTGGCAGTTTTTCTACATTTAGATTGGTCACATTTCCGTTCCATATCCATAAAACCCTTCCTTGGGAACCGTTTGTTAATCCTCTTCAGTACAAGCTCCAAGCGACTTGTCTCCGAATGGTATCTGATAATCG